CTCACTGGCGGAAATGGGATTCTATAAAAAATAGTGTAATTAATTTGATTTTTATCAGGGCACTATACAGGACAAGTCTTCAGGCTTATAGAGCCTATGATCCTGTACGATTCATGAAAATAGTGTAACAAAACGGCCAACATACAGGTTGTACGATCTGGTTGCAGTACACCACCCTCCCCTGCGCATAACAGGGATGCTGGCCGCCGGGGCTAAAGAAAGTGATCTTAAAGAAAGTGAGCCAGTGCAGCGAGGCACGAACTAGGGTGGGAGCAGCGAGGGCACAAGCCCTAAAACCCAAATCCATTACAATAACAAAAGGACAGACAATGAAATATGGCTATTTCGAAGTCGCAAATGAGAGATATAAAGTCGGAATTCTGAGTTGCTAAGTCGCAATTCTGAGATACTAAGTCGGAATTCTGACTTACTAAGTCAGAATTCTGACTTACTAAGTCGGAATTCTGAGATACTAAGTCAGAATTCTGAGATACCATAGCGCGTTTTTTTTTTTACTCACTGGTGGGAACGGGCTTCCATACTGACAGGCTGAAAGTATGGAACCTTTTAAGTCTTGAACAGAGAAGACTACAAGGAGACATGATGCAAGTTTTCAGAATCTTCCAGATTATCGACAAAGTCAATGGAGTGCACTTCTTCAGAATGAACAGTGAACCGTGACACAGGAGGATGTAGAAACTCATCTAAAACTCGCAAAAACAGGCACTTATGTCACGAAGCGTTCTTTCAGGACCCTATGCAGACAACACAATCTGAGGGGGAGTGAAGAAAACATGGGGAAAAAGGCATGCAAGGGGCTGGAAGGAAAACAAGGGGCGTGTCCATGGTGCGCTGGTGTTCGGGGGAGGTGTGGCCGAGGCAAACAGTCCAAGGGAGTCCGAGTCAAATCCATGAGTGAAGCAAATGTCCAAGTCGGAGCAGGATCCGGCGGAGGTTCAGGGGAATAAAAAGAGGGTAACGGGACCAGACGCGGTCTTGTGGGTAGGTGGGCTTCCGGGCGTCCATCTTCCAAAGCTGAGTCCAGATTGACGGGAACGTCTGGATTATATTGGATGGGGGGGGCAGGTGCGGGAGATGAGTATAAAACAAGGAAGGGCTGGAGCGTCCTCAAAAGGAGGGGTTTAAGATTGTGACAACTTTTTTTACTGAAAGGGTTGTAATATGGAACAAGCTACCCAGTCATGTGGTTGAAGTCGATACACTGGCTTCCTTCAAGAAATGGCTGGATGACATACTTAGATCAGTAAAACATGATAGTGCTTTAGGCTTTACAAAAATTAACAAAGTAAAGAAAGCATTCCTTCTGACTATAAACATTTAAATACAAGAAAGGACTGAAAAAGTCAAGCAGTCAAAAGATTTTTGTATTGTCTTAAACTTACATGTTATGTAATATGTATTTGTCTTTTTCACTACTATACCAAGTTCAATTGGCTAATTATCACAAATGTGCAATAATACTGGGTTATCAAACATTAGCCAAAGAGTAAGCTCATTTCTCTGCCCCATGTCACAGTTGTGGTCACAGCCATTGGCCTGGATTTAGTTCAAACCTTGTTTGATCCATCATAGCTAATTCACAAAGCAGACACCTTCAGTGATGTTACCGTGCCAGTATCACATACAGTACACAATACATGCCGTGGTTCTCTTTTGCTATCCAATCACAGTGGTCCTCTTTGACAAATCAAATGTCACATATCTACTGTAGCTCGATAAGAGCATGTCTTTGCACAAAATGTGATAGACCTGAACACACACTCCTTCCAGATCCGTCCTCCAAATTTGGATCAAGCTCAAATTCTGAACCTCCCTTAGTCTCACAGTAACATTACCTATAATTTATGATCTCAGAAGGTGATTTTTTAAAATAGTAGGTATTCTTTGTAATTATGAAATCAAAGAAAAGCACAGCAAATAATGTCATGTGGTTGAAGAGAACTGGAGAAATTTACAGTATATGTTTTTATAAAAGTGAATGGAATGCTAGGTTTATATTCATCTGGTTATTACTTTCCAAAAAGCGATAGCAATAGTTTTGATATCACTGATATATAGCAAATAAATAGCATGTCACACATTCAGAGTTTATTTTTAAGTCACACAATGTATCATTAATCTTGTCTTTTACAGATCCTGTTTTCCAGTTAAAAACACTAAAACTCTGCTAAATACGAAGCAAAGCAAGCTGCTTCTTACTTATTAACACAAGCACTGTGTTACTATTTTCTCTCCCTCAAACAGGTCATGCTGATCACTGATCCTAGAGCCAGTATAACGTATATTTCAGTCCTGCAGTTTACCAACTGATATATACACCCCTCCCTTTTAATATGAAGATGATTTATTCCTCTAAACTTCATAATGTTAAATTTTGCATAAAGAAAATTAAATTTCTCAAAATTAATTTAACATTAACACTGCCAGCTTACTGTTTTGGTCTTGAGATACAATTGGACTAAGATTCAAAGTAATTTAGCACCAGGCTGTTAATTTCCATTGGTGGTCGTGATTAATTGTTATTTCACAAATGTTTATTTGTTAGCCATGAATGGTTTAAGTGGCATTTATATCACCATCTGTTATTTAAAAAAAGTATAAAATGTGGAAACGTACCTCAAATGTTTGATTAAAATTAGTAAAAAGTTAGATATATTTATTCATTTTTAATATTGATCTCCATTCACTTTGTAAATTACTTTAAAATACAATCAGTTTAAATACAAATACAATGTCTGGTTGCTAGCTTCATCTGGCAACTCTCTTTGAGATGTTATCAAAAACTATTCTTGTTTTGATCCAACACAGTGGCTCAGTGAGAAGCTTAGGGACGTGGAAAAGAAAGAAGAAAAAAGTGGTTTTGTGACAGAATAACTAAGATACATTTAATAAGCATTAAACTGAGTTATGTTCATCAATAACATCACAAAAACATATAATAAAAACAATGTGAGAGCTTTCTTTTAATAAATCAGACTGTATTAGTGTCACAGTAACTGGACCACTGTCTCGATCATAAAGGGATACTGAAGCTTAGAGGCAATTTGCTGTGGGATTATACTGTAGCTCTCGTACTTGTAACCGAATTGACGAAGAGGGTTTGTGATATCCACAAATTAAGTGATATCTAACTGCCCCCGCAAGTATAAGGGAGAAATAGTCTGTTGTCTGTTTCTTGAGCAACTGAGACATACAGATCATTTTAGGTAGGTTCAGTAAAAAAAAATTGAACTTATTTACATCATGAAAATCTATGCAATCCACAACCAATCTAAATAAAAAAAATGTAAGTCTTTTAAACCTAGATAGTTTGCTTTTCTGTATTTCTACAGTATGTAATATATTTGTTACTGTATATATTCCTTGCGACTATGACAAGGTGAACATCAAATTAAGTTCATATGTCTGTACATGCCATCTGTATACTCCTAATTTGTACCTTTTGACACATGCTATAAACAGGGTAATGTAGGTGAGATGAGCAAGGCCCATGCTGTTACAGTATTCAACAACAGTTCTGTAAAGTATTGTGCCAAGATTGTGCCTGTCCACCAGCTGTACTACTTGTTTCTTTGATCTGCTCCTATATATGAAAAATCAAGAGCTCGGGAAAATTAAATCCAGATGTGTTTGGAAAGAAGAAATACAGAATCTAAACTAGCACCACATGACTAGTAAATGAACATCTAGAAGAACTGCTACAGAAAAATAATTCCTCAATTAATTGCTCTTCTTTCTTTCCTATAAGCAGCCTGCAACATGTAATTGTATACAGCATTATAGGCTGTTCTTTCTAGGGATAAGCAATGTCAAACATAAAACCTTAATCAAAGAAGACAGCATCCAAAATTTTACCAATCCAATAACATCTGCGCTTAGAATCCGAACCAGTGGTGCAACATAGTTTTTAGTTAATTTGCAAAGTGTGTGCATACAGCAAAGATCAGAAAATTATAAAAGCTTTAATTTACATCAGACAAGTACTGTATCATTTCATCTTATGGACATAAATTGAAAAGTATTTTTCTTTTTAGAAAAATGGTTTACAATGGTTGTGCTGATGCAGAGATTTATAATAGTAGATTTGTCTATTTGAGGTCTGGTTGGTTATTGTGAGCAGGTTTTATGTGCATGACTGGTGATTTGTACTAGGTAAAAACAGGTATTTGATGACCTGGTCCAGGTTTCGAAAAGTTGCTGAATGTGCAGTATGTGCAGTATGTGCAGTAATTAATGCATTAACATTTGATATGCTACATCTGGCAGGAGTTATGCTAGATAATTTTGATTCTGTTTGTTGTGATGTGATGGTTTGTGCTGTTGAAAGACACAGTCCAGTGACATAATAACAATCCATATTCAGCTCAGTCACATACAGAGTTACCCATAAACGTACAATCCTAGCTCAGCTGGAGAAAATAGCACAGCACATGCATATATTTTCTTTTTCTTGATAGGAAAACATAACTGGAAAAAAAATAATTCTTAATAAAAGTTACCTGTTCTTGTCGAATATATCCTCTTTCTCTCTGTGAGCTTTTCTTAATAAAGTTTTTTTTCAGATAAAGAAAAATGTAACAAAATAATTATTTTACAAAACAAAAAATTAACTGTCTCCAGGGAGTCTTAATCCCTATCTAGTGTGTTATTATATTTTAATAAATTACACATTAATTGTGTTAATAAAAAGGCATGAATGTTGTGTGGTAGTAAAACCAGTATCTTATTAATATTGCCCTATATAATTGTCTTGAAGGATGATACATATATAATATTACATTTCTCTTTTGCAGGCTGAATACTAATATGAAGATGTTAATTGGGTTTACTGTTTTGCTACTTGCTAGCGCTGCCTGGTCTCAAGAAATGCCTTATGCTGAATACCTAGAACAAATTCAGGCATGCCCAAAGGAATGCCGCTGCCTTCCAAGCTTTCCCAATGCTGTATATTGTGATAGCAAGGGGTTGAAGCAGATACCCACCATCCCCCCATACACCTGGTACTTGTACCTCCAGAACAACTTAATCGATGCAATTTCAGAAAAATCCTTCAAGAATGCAACACAACTCAGATGGGTGAACCTCAACAGAAACAAGATCACCAACAAGGGTATTGACAAGAATGTATTCAAGGCAATGACACAACTGCTGTACCTGTATATTGAAGACAATCTGCTAGATGAAGTGCCCTCTCCTCTTCCAACAAGCTTAGAACAGCTCCGTCTGTCAAGGAACAAGATCTCCAAGATCCCTGCTGGGGTCTTCAACAGTATGGAAAATCTTGCAATGCTGGACCTTCAAAACAACAAACTGGAGGATGCAGCCATCAAAGAAAATACCTTCAAAGGCTTGAAGAACCTTATTCAGATTAATCTATCCAAAAACAAACTGAAAATAATGCCTCCTGGCTTACCAGCAACCATCATGCAGTTGTTCCTAGACAGCAACTCCATTGACAAGATCCCTGACAACTATTTCAAAGAAACACCCAAGGTCTCCTTTCTGAGGCTTAATTACAACAAGCTTGCCGATGGTGGCCTACCAAAGAATATTTTCAACATATCCACCATCCTAGATTTGCAGTTATCTCACAACCAGCTCAACCACGTGCCTCATTTTCACCCTAGCTTGGAGCACCTGCACCTTGACCACAATAAAATCACGAGTAAGTAAAAGCCCAGTTTTGTTTATAATTTTTAAGATTTTATATTAACATGCTAAAACTGTCATGTATCTTTTTAAATAACTAGCTTTGTCTTGGAGAGCTGCATTATTTACTCATACTCATTTTCAATTAAGTAATTGAACGAATTGTAGGCATACTTGGCTTTATTACTTAAAATAAATGTGATTATCAACCATTGAAACAAACCTATGAAACTCAGGACCATTGTCCACTGTTTTTTTATCACAATGACAGAAACTTTGAAATACAAAATATTCAATTGTGAAATGTTATGCCATTATAGCTTCCATTGATAACAAATTTGGGTATTTAAAAATGACTGGAACAGTATTGTAATGAATACAATTGAATTATTTGAAGGCCATATATCCATGTATTCATTCCATGTAATAAATCTCATATCTTTTTGTATAAGAAACAGTTTGGAACCGAAGGAATTGATAAACAAAAAATAAGGCGTCAATAAATGTCTCATTTATCCTAATTTAAGAGGTCTATAATAAGAAATTGAATATAATTTTTAAAAGTTACTACTAAGTACTTTATTTTATGATATTTTGGGTAAACAAAAGATCTTTGATCATCCTGTGATTTTTGATTACATAAATTAACTTCTATATAAATATTCTGTCTGAATACTGATAAACCACAGGAACAAAGCACCATTTTGCTGATTAATGAAAAATAAAAGGTTTGTATGAAGTGAACCCTAAATCATGATTCAATACCTTTAAGTACCTCTAGGCTAACTCAAAATTTCTGCACTGCTCTAACTGGTCCATCAATACGAAAGTGATAAAACATCAGAATTACTTGACAGTCATGTTCCACTTAAAACATGGGTGCAAGACACATAAAAGACACATACATTCACTTTCAGACATTACTTGTCAGGATGCCAAATCTCAGTGATTTTGAGAGAGAGCATACTCTAGTAATGCTGATGGAGGGTCTGATCTGGTATAGCCCCACGAGAGCACTGGCAGCCCCAAAGATAATCCCTGTCCAGGTCAATCAAGGATATGGACTCCAAATCTGGAATGACATTAGGAAGGACCATCTAAAAAATCAATTCTGTACAGCTACAACAATGGCTGCAAATAGACAGGGTAGATTTCATAATGAGAAGACTATAATTAGATGTTTCCCTCGATTCAGAATGCAATTTAAACATCCATACAATGGCAACATCCTAAACTCTGAACCAAACACAAGAATGCACATCACAAGTAATAGTGAAAAGCCATAGTAAAAGTTAACAACACATGAAATCATATTGCTGTATAGTTATCTTTGAGGTAATGCTATTCCTTCTTCCTTAACGTCCCCCTTTCAGGCCATAAAGGCCCATGGGGAGGGCCACCATTTTTCTCAACCATCTGACACTAGAGGTGGAAGTGATGTGGTCAGCATCATGCTCCAGCTGGCCAATTACTCCCAGAAGGATTAACCTCCAGTACTCATTTGGAAAGCAGGCTGAGTGGACCGGGGAACTGTTTTGGAACGAAATTAGCACATGCTACCTTGCTTGCCCCTCCTACCTGGGATTGAACCCAGGACCTTCCAGTGAGGAGCTAGACGCCCTTGCCATCTGAGCTAACATGGCTCCAATGCTCTTTCATCGTACACTATATTCATTTGATGTCAATGCTACACTTCTAAAGTGTCTTAGTATACAGTGTAAAGGCAGAAAAAACAACAGACAAAAAGTCATCTACAGTAGCATACAGTACCGTGAAATCAGAAGAACTTTTGACAATGTTTGTGCTGTTGAGTAATCATACTTTTGTAAACACAGGAGTGAATGGAAGTGACATCTGCCCCATGCCTGTTGGAGCCACCGATGACTACCACGATGAAAAAACTCCACGCCTGCGCTACCTTCGCCTTGACGGCAATGAGATAAACCCCCCCATTCCGATGGACCTTATGATGTGCTTCAGACTTCTGAGGGCTGTTGTTATTTAAGTTGGGTATAGAGTTCAATTTAATACATCCTTTCCTATGTCCAATATGCGAAACAATTCACTATACTAACCATGAATAAGTCAGTGAAATAATCTGTAGATACAAAATGATGTCAGCAGTGTATTATGAAATTGCCTCCAGCAGATGAAACTAATTAAATATGATTTCAGGAAATAAAGATAAAAAGCCAAGCCAAAACAATAATGTTAACAAAGAATACAATTATTTGTTTTTTAAATATATTTTGTAAATATCAAATTTTGAAAATATTTTTCACAATTTCTGTACCATTCAGCCTATATACCTATGTACACAACTACATTAGTATTAAAATAATGCACAATACCAACAGTAAAAATTGAACAAGCTCTGTATATTTGAACAGGTTTTCTGTACTTTAAAAGTAGGTTTTGCGGGACTATAATATACAGTAACTGTTTTATTGCTGTTGATTGTTTGATTCTACCAAGTGTAATAATATCATTCTATTTACCTGAACATCCATCCTACAATGGAACAACAAAACAGGAAACTAAAATAAGAATTGTGTATAATCTGGGTTATAGCTGGCCTTTAAAACATAAAATGTTTTCATTTAATGTACCTAGCTTTTGTCTTAGAACATAGGAATAATGTAGTCAACATGTATTATACAATCAAGTATTCCATTCTATTTAGCCTCACACTTATTGAGTAAATCTTAACCCATCTCATTTGCCAGTCGGACTGAGACCTCCTCTTTTAGTGTTGTCACTTAGGTTCGATCTGATTCATCTGACAGTTGAACTTCGTTGTTCACCCTGTTCTCCAAATGACTTGGACTGGCCCATACTGAGTACAAAGAAAAATGCCAGTAAGAGCAGGTCTCAAAAAATGGCAATATGGAAAACAGAATAAACTTGTCATCGATTGCTGTCGTGTATAGTACTGTAGCTGTAGCATGTTTAAATGAAAAAAGCCAATGCTTAAATTTATTCTTTTTGTAGTTACCTTGTCAATAATGATTTGAATTTTCAGTGCACATTGAAAGAGAATACAACAATAGTTAAAAATAGTACAATAACAACATTGTATTAAAATATTTTAAATTTAACTTAATACATAGTCTCTAAACAAAAAAATATTCTGTAACAAAAAATGGTGATTCAGTATAGAGTTTTTTTTCACTGTGGCTTAGGCACATTACACTGCTTTAATTATACTAGATACAACTATTTATTAAAACATTTACTGAAATTAATAAATGGTTGACAAAATGTTGTTATTTTGTTACCTTGAATATGTGTGTGTTCTAAGAGTGAAACAAGGTTTGAGTCTTTCAGAGATATGATAATGTGATCTGTTCATTTTAATGTTAATAAACATTTATCAACAAGTCTGTCATTTTATTTTTGAAACATTTGTGAAACAAAAAAGCTTACTCACTCATCACTGTGAGTTCTTTTGCACAATTTTTGATCCTGTTTAAATATTTCAATATTTTAAGCCTTAACTGAACCAATAATATGAAAGTTGACCTATTGAATCATGTTCATGGCTTAAATATGTTAGAGGTTTCAATGTAACAATTATATTTCCTAAGTAGTAGTCTCCAACTTTACCATTTATCCATTTTCAATAACTTCTGAGCTCAGGGTCAGGGGTGAAGTGAAGCCTCAACTGTAACGGAGCAGTTCTTTCTGGACCCTATGCGGCCGTCACAATCTGGGGAAACTGAGGAAACACTGAGGAAAAAAATAATGCAGGAGATGGGAATGAGGGCAGGGGTACGTGTTCATGGTGCGCTGTTGCATGGGGGAGGTGTGGCCAAGGCAAACAATCCAAAAATAATCCAGCAGGGAATCCAAAAAAATGGGCAAAGTCCATAGCCAGGTGGTCCATCAGGAACAGACAGGTTAAAACCAGGAACTGGGACGGAACTGGCAGGGGAAACAGGAACAGGAACAGAGACAGAGACAGAGACTTAAAAACATGACAGAGCCAGACGCATCAGGACCCGGGCTCGCATGATATGGGAATCAGATGCAGAGCCTGGAACTGAGTGTCTGGCTTTTAAGGGGGGCGGGAATGAGGCTGGAACAAGGGGCAGGTGCACAAAATTAGGTCCAAAGTGAAAAGAGCCGGAGCACCCTTAAGGAGGAGGGACTACAATCGTGACATCAACTGGCAGATAATGGGTGTGATGCACCCAGGACATAAAAGGTCTCAGTTCAAACAATGTTTCAATAAAATGAAAATAGAAAGAAAACCAACAGTCTACGATTCCAGAGTCTCAAGGTCCAGAATTGGGAACCTGTGGTTTATAAAAACCAGTAGTCACAGACCTTAATTATCACAAGTCCTGGAAGTACGTCTGAGGATGACTTTTATTTTATAATGCTAAAATTATTTGTATATGTGTGTCATTGAAATACTTAGAAATGTGTGTTTGTTAAAATGCTAAGAAAACTTGAAAATATGTATCCCAAATTCCAAAGACAGGAGTAATAATTCATAATGACATGCATCAGTGAGTTGATGTCATCTACAACTTTGATATTTCCTCCTGGTGTTGGAGGGCTCTTCTGGTTTTCATTCAACCCTTGGTGCATAGCAATGTAATTCAAATCAACTCTGCACTTTGATCTACATGAATTACAGTATATTAATTGGTTGAGTATTATAGGTTACCTATGGAACCCAGTGAACTGCAGCCCTCCAGGACAAGCTGTGAATATCTCACATACAGTATACTGTACAGTATATACTGAGTATACACTAATGTAGAATTTTATTTTTTTAACAATGAGGCAGAGAGTGGAGAGCATAAATACTGTATATTATAGAACCCAAACACCATGTACAGCTACACATAGACAAATTTATGTCAGTTTCTTGTTGGTTTTCATACACTTGTCTAACTTTTTCTTCTGACTATTACTATGACTCATAGGTTTAGATGTGACAAATTTGAGAATATGAATATAATATGTGTATGTAGAAGTTTAAGGAGGTATATTTTGATGTAGCTGTTAAGTTTCACTTAGGGTACATGTTGTCTACTATCAGTGAAATTGTAGTGCCATGCTGAGTGCCAGTGAGTGTCACTAAATAAGGATTATTTTTTGCTATTCCACACATTAAAAAACAGAAAAAATAAACAATATGAAATAAAATTGAAAAGTCCTGAATGCATACATTTTCAAATCCCCTGCTGTGGCAAACCTAAATTGATTTATCCCAACACAGTCCATCAACTAGTCACCACCGTCCCTACTGTGAAGTATGGTGGTATCAGCATTATGTTATGGTTCTGCTTCAGCAGAGACTGGGCAGCTTGTTAAGACTGATTGGGACATACTGCACATGCAACAGAGTTCTGGCAAATCTTAGAAGAAAATCTGCTTCAGACTTAAAACTGGGACAAAAAGTAATCTTTCAACAGGACAATGACTCAAAGCACAAGGCCACATCTGCAGTGCAGTAGAGAAAGAATAAGTAAGTAAATGTCCTTGATGGCCCAATCAAAGTCCTTACTTGATTAGTATTGAGAATTTGTGGAAACACTTGAAAACTGATGTCTAGTTTGAGCACTCAGTTTTTAATATAATATTAAGTTTAAAAAATGTGTATGCAACATCTTGTGATTTCACTAATTGGGACACTATATTAAGGGTCTGAAATAATTTGCAAGACACTGCATTTGTAAGTTCTTGTAATCTTCATACTTACAAGTCTTTGTACTTTCACTAAATTCCAGAAAAAAACATACCTATTAAGAGAGGCAAATTGAAAATGTAAAAAGCACTGAAACAATGGAGGATGTGGAAACAAACATGAAAATAAGACATAAGTAGTAGTATTGTATCAAGCAAGAAAATGTACCTTCTAATATTCCTGAGGACAAGGAGGCAGAGGCTCTTAGAATTGAACTCAAAAGCAAGCATGCAACAGCAGTCAGGAAAGGTTAAGACTTAGCTGTGAGGCAAGTATTTTCTGCTTTTCACCTGTTTTATGAATAAGTACACATTCACTTCACAAGCGGAAGATGATATGCACTTACTGATGGACTTCCCATAGTTTTTACAATTTCTATGAGCTTCTGTATATGCTCCAAAATTGTATTGGTGGAATTTATACGAAACCTTAAATTGACAGGTATAAGACATTAAACATTCCCTCAAACAGAGAACCAAACTTCTGAGTTTTAACTATTGAATATCAGTGGAGAGTAGCCAGCAAGTGGAGATGGTAGATCATAACCTAGATTCAAAACTTGAGTCACATCTGAAAAAAGCACACAATTTTAGTAAATTGAAACCAAAATTATCTCATTAAATTAATTAAATAACATAATAATCACGAAATACTGTAGCATATCTAGCTTCAAGTTAAACATTATATCTGTACATGCATGCATAATCCCTAAATTCTCACTTTCTGCGTCGTAAGACTTGGCACCTGCGTACTGTACTTGCCAGCAATAAAGAATGCAGAGGCCTTTTCTTTACTTTAGTCTTCCTTAACACTCGATTGTGAAATATTACTGACATTGCCTTTAAATTGCTTTTTAATATGCTGGGTTTTGAATTGAATTTTATTCAATTATTCCTTGTCACGTTAAAAGCAAATGTACAAGCAATAGTTAGAAGCACAGTGCCTAAAAAGGATCACCTTTCAGGGGTGTGTTATCTTTAAGGAGCAAGCAGTCACTATGAATTAAGGCAATTACTGAAGAGCATGGAAATTATGTAGGATTCACTGGTACATGCCTTCAGTGGTTTGTCAATTAATAAAAACGAGTGAAGGTTTTAAATCTAGTCCTCACTAATTTTTCAATGTGTTCCACAGGATCCTACACACTTGGTTCTTGGTCAATTTATGTGAATTTTGGTTCAACAACCATGCAGATCACTACCAATCTGATTTTTTGCAGACCACAAAAACCATTGCTGCTCTGGTTGTCACATCTGAATCTGGCTAATATTTAGGTACTGATGCAATGGAAACTTCTTGAGGTAAACTGTGACAAAATTTAGGTTATGCTTAAACATAATCTTGAAAAAGTTGGTGAATTTAGTGTTGTTGAGTATGGTGTGAAAATAAAACATCATTATAGTGAAACAATATAGTGACGGGGACACTATACTGTAAAACAGGTGCCGTCCTTCGGATGAGACTTAAAACCGAGGTCCTGACTCTCTGTGGTCATTAAAAATCCTGGCCAAATTTCCCATTGGCACTTACCAATCATGGCCTCTTAATAATCCCCCTCTATGAATTGGCTACATTACTCTGCTCTCCTCCTCACTGATAGCTGATGGCTGCCGTCGCATCATCCAAGTGGATGCTCCACATTGGTGGTGGTGGAGGGGAGTCCAGAAAAAGCGCTATATAAGTGTAAGCAATTATTATTATTATTATTATTATTATTATTATTATTATTATTATTATTATTATTATAATAAAACCTTTGAGAAAATTTTAAAGCCTTGATGTTACTTCTAAAACTTTGTTATCATTTGAAGCATATGTATGTCAGGAATGTCAGAAGACTGTATTGTGTCCATGCACCTAATACTGAAATACTGACATATGTTTTTATTTCATCGAGATAAGAATACTATAGTTTCTTATTTACAGGTGTATCTAGTAATATACTAAACAAACTAAAAACCTCTGCATCAATAAATGCTTTTAATCTATTAGTACTGTAAGTTATTCTCTTTGTTGAATTGTATTAAGAAATATAGTTTCTTATTTACAGGTGTATCTAGTAATATACTAAACAAACTAAAAACCTCTGCATCAATAAATGCTTTTAATCTATTAGTACTGTAAGTTATTCTCTTTGTTGAATTGTATTAATTGTGCTTTTCTTCTCTTTCCTTTAACTTGCATTATATTTATACATGACCTACAGTATTATGCAGTTCTTTGTTTTTTTAAGAAAAGTAATATTATTATTATTATTGTTATTGTTGTTATTATCATCATTATTAAATGACACCTATTTCTAAAACATTCAATTTATTCTGTATAAGACCATCATTCTTCTGCAAATTCTTAACGTATTTAATGTAAGCCTGTTGAGTGCTTGTAGCCCTGTAATAATGCACTATTGTAAAATATTGTGTGAAATACGCAACATATAAATGTGCTGTCAAAAAATATATTTTGGATAGAAATTGGGAATATATACCATCTATACCAAGAACCTCACCTATCTTTCTCTTGTTTGACCTCATGTTCATGGGCTACAATTATACCTTAGGGCTTACCTCTACTTCTAGTGCATTCCTACTGTCAGTCTACATAAATCTCCAGGTTAGATAAATTGTGTTGTAGTCTCTGAAGCTCATTTTTTTGTAAATCTGATTTCTTGGTAGATCAGATCCTTATGCTGAGGATTCTGACCAACTGTGGAGACACAGATATAGTTGAAACCACAGCAATTGCCAAACATACTTTTGTAACACCGTCACTCAAGTGTGGAAAAACAAATTTGGTCAAAGGTTTAAATCTAAAACATCTTTAGGCATAACTCCTCAAAGACATGTAACTTGGAACAAGGATATTGTTTTAGTTTTAAAAATAATGAGGTATTCCAAAGGAATGGTCTTCATTCATAGATTCTAAGATTTAATGGCAATAAAAAGTCTCTTAACTGTAATATGTTTGAGTTATTGCAAGTAAGAAAAACTGGATTGATAATATGTAATGACGAGCAAAGAGCACTTAAAAACAAATGATTGTTAAATTACTTTTGTCATTTTAAACAAACATTTGCTTCAAAATCATAAGGTTTTCAAAGAACATACAGGTATACTGATGGTGCATCTTGAGAACAACATACTGTAGTATGTGCTCAGAAAATCAGCTTTCCTGAAATCATTATACCATGAGAATTGTATTTCATATGGTGTCTGTTTTTTTTTTTCAAGCATATCTAAAAATAAAGTGAAACAAAACTACACAGCGGTATGGTTCCTGTGATCCTAAGAATGGGCAGCAACCTCTCTCCAGCCTGTCCCTGAAAAACAGTAAAGCAGAAAAAAACAAAATATTACAGGTCTCTATTCTTGGTTTATTAATAGAATAGAAGAAAATTATAAGTATATACAGTATAATAGTATGTTAGAATAGTAATATTTTTTAGTAGTAATAGCTTATTAAAATTTAGTTTTTGGGAAAGTCATGTAGGTAGCAGTGTGTATACAATATGTCATTACGGCTCTGAACTTGTGACTGATATGTTATAACTTCAAATGTACTGTAGCAGGGGAGGCTTCTGCTCTTACACCCAGAATGGTATACACTTAGAATGGTAAAATGATCTTCTGAACAAATTGGCATGCTGCAGGCTGTTAATGTAAATGAGAATTTGATATAATTGCCTTACGTGGTTAAATAAAGAGCTAATCACAGCTCCTTTGCCCTCCTGCCTTGATTCCACCCTGGGGATCCTTCTGTGTGGAGTTTGCAAGATCCCCTAGTAGATGTGTTGGTTTTCTCTGGGTGCAGGGAGATATTCTGCCTAGGTTAACAAGTGCCTCAGAATTGTGTGTCCAGTGACAGACTGGTTTCCTGCCCAGGATGTATCCTGCCTAGCTTCCATTGTGTTCTGAGATAAGATCTAGCTCACTGTGATCCCGAAGTGTAATAATTGTAACTGAATTAATGGTGGCACGGTGGTTAGCATTGCCGATTAATTTACATTTAAATGGGAGTTGAGTAATTTACATTTGAGCTGGTTGTTTAATAATTCGAGCATAAAAACATGTTTAGTAGGGTTTACTCACTTGCATTATCCAACCAAAAATCTCCACATTCAATGAATTCAGTATCAGAACCAAAAGAAATTTCATAAAACTGTATGAAAAACTTTAAATAATAAATTAAAATGATAATCATACTATTATTACTATGACTACATTATATGTGTCACGATCGTTACTCCTCCTCTTAAGGGCGCTCCAGCCCTTCCTCGTTCTGTCCCATTCCCCACACCTGTTCCTTATTCCAGCCCCTCTTTAGTTCCACCTTTAAAGCCAGACGCAGGCGATTGCTCGGGGCTTCTCATTGATTTCCGTGTCGTGAGAGCCCGGGGTCTTGCCACGTCTGGCTCCGTTATCATTTTAGTTTCCTGTTCCTGTTTCCCTGCCCCGCCGGTCCCGACCCGGTTCTGGTTTTAACTACGGATGGATCCCTTGGTCTTGGACTAACCTCCCGTCTTGGATTCCCCCTCTGGATTTACCCTTGGATTGTTCGCCCTGGATTCACTCACCCCCGGACACCAGCACTGCATGGACACGCCCCCCTGTCTCCTGACCGACTCCTGCATGATATTTTTCCCTTTTGTTTCTTCACCTTTTGGATCGTGTCGCCCGCATAGGGCCCGGAAAGAACTGTTCCTGACAATATGACTATTTAAGTTAATAAAAGTAATATTTTTATTCTAAAAATAGCACAGTAGAAGTCTAAAAATGTGCTGTTATCAACTGAAGAGAACTAGAAGAATGAGACTGAAAGACGAATGTAATTTTAGCCTGATCTTAAAATCATTTTTTTTCATAGTGTGAAGTCTTCACAATAATACTTGAATGTTGTAAATAGAAACAGCAGAAAACAGTTTGCCTTATGTTTGACGTTTCAGGGCAAAGTGCATTCTGACTTTTTGCCTCCTTTCTTTTTCACACAGTTTTACCCAGCAGGGGCATGAGAGAAAATTGTTATTGTTTATTTTGTTTTGTACCTCCATGGCACTGACTGGAAAGGTGTATGAAATTGCCCCAGAAACGTGACTAAAGACACACAGTTAGCAAATTAAAGCTGCACTTCCTCTTCTTTCCTATTTCAGGCAACACAGCATATACTGTATTATTGCAACTCTTTACCCATTGCTGGAAGAATGTTGACTGAATTTGAACACAGAGACTCCATTGTTTAGTTGGGCCCTGATGATTCTCAAATGTAAGCAAGACATGCACTTTTTAAACCAAGGTAAAATTCAGTCATTAAACCATATTTTGAAAAAGGAGCCCATTACAATAATGGTATTTTATCTGAGAACTGTTGGTCAGTATTGAGTTACAGCCAGTGCATATAAATAAGTTGCTTGCTGACCAAAAGCAACTGCTTTCCCCTCACTGTGTCAGTCCTTTCTTCCACACAGTAGGGCACATATCAGGACTAACTGTGATACCACCCTCCCACAGCCACTGAGACCCCTTGTAATTGGGCAGGTCTAGATACCCTGAGCTCCTCAATCTTACAACTCAAGACCATTTGAGAAGGTAGAAGGCAAAGGTAAGCTTTGAGGCTTTCTTGGTTTTATTTCTCAGGTTTAATCTGTGCATTCTGTTTTAAGCCTTAAAAAGACTTTGCTTGCCTATGCTCAACACCTACAGTACTCTAGCAATAATGACATTTGTCACATGGTCCGCCGTAACCAGGTTTTGGCATAGTTTTCTTAGAAACCAAACAGCCTTTTAGTATGGGGCTTAATTTTAGTGTTAAAGGTTTTAAATTCCCATGTGATAATTATGATATCTCCAAGACAACTGACATGAAGGGGGGGGGGGCTCAGAAATCATAAGTCTGATGTCAATTTTAATCATTTTGCTTTGTAAGATGTTAAGAAGTTGTTGTCAGGTAAGGAGAAGTTAAATTTAGACTTTAGAATTTTCTTAATATTTATTTAAATATTGGATGTTATGTGTTTTTAATGTTTCTCAGTAGTAGGTATCAATCATGAATAATTACTATCACTTATGAAATTGTTAAAATATTTTAATGTTAAATTATTAATTGTATTATTCTTAACCTACAAAACTACATTTTGTTGTAATACAATAAGCATTAGTACAAGTCTTACTAATATTAGTAATGCAGTTTGTACATTCGAGCATACTAAAATGTAGTTAGAAGATAATGTATCATGAAGAGCATATATATACATATGAACAAGAATAATCTTAAGGAAAACTAATGATAAAATGTCTTATAATCAAACATTATAAGACTAGAATGTTGAAGCTTCAGCCAGAGGAAACAGAAGGTCTGACTGCCTGCCAGTCTTCCTAAGGTTTCTTCACACTTATAGTGTCAATAATACAAACTTCAAATGATTTTCTCTCTTCCCGTCTTTAGTTATTATACTATAGAATAGAAAATGGAAACTAACACCGTACTGTCAACGCTGACAAAAGGTTTTGCTATAAGGGAAAATAATCAAGTCTTGCATACAGTATGTCAAAAACTATGGAAACTCTGAACTTTCCAAATAACTGTCAGAGAAACCCATACTGAATTTCAAAGCTAAAACAAGAATTGGCAGGTTTGTGTTTTCTGATCCCGGGGATGCTATACAAGAGCGATGTATTATTTCAGTAAATGAAGTGGTAATTTATCTTATTATTCAGCACTACGTATTTTAAAGGGTAATTATGCTGAACTGTACAGTTTTGGTCAAAGGTTTATATGTGAGGGAACCTGAATTCCTTCTTATCCTTCAATCTGTCAGTAGAAGTTAGACTGCCATCCTGCCCTGTAACCCCAGTGGAATTTCATAAGTGCATGCCTAGACCAGTTCTTATAAAAGCCTTCTTTCAGACCAGAGAGTTTCAGTTTGCCTAGTTGCTGTCTCCTAAAATTACAGACGCTGTAGTTGTACTGCAATGTCCAAAGTTTGCATGTTGGGTCTCCCTGTTAGCCTGCAGGCTCAGCCTTTTCTCTCCACAATCTTCCACAGCCAAATAAATAACATGAAATAAAGTTAAATTTTAAATGCTAGTGCTTTAAAATATAACTCACAAATTTAATTACTTAAATAATGACTAAGAGTAAAGAATTATTGTCTTTTCTTTGGGAAAAGGTGCTGAATATCACAAATATTCAAAAGAATCTAGTTACAAGTGCTACAGTATTTCACATTTATTAGTTTTTGTAGGTCTCTTAGCTTAATTTGTTGTAATGATACAGTACATCCAAAAGAATATTGTTTGGAATAATGAATGAAATCCAGGAGATCATTCAGCATAGATAATTTTCAGCACCATAAAGAGATGAATTTATACTTACATATTGGTTGAATTTGGTGAATAAATGCAGAGACTTTTAGTGAAATTGACATAGATAGTACTTTTATATTGTTTCTGTTAATTGTTTAAAAATTAGTTATACAGTATAAAGGGTAGTGGTAAACCCTGACTAATACATCCTCTTCTACAATTTAAAAACAATTTACAGTAAGTTTAACTCAATGTTGAGAAGATCAAGTAAAGACTTCCTGAAGTTAAAGGTCATGTGTGTGACTTGTTGATTGGGCTGGAAAAGGCATTCTATAGACCAAAGACTAGAGCACAAGTGATATTTCAGTAGTTCAGTCTAGTTCTAATAAGAACAAATGAGTTAATGAATATAAAGGGATAGTGATATTTAACTTTGGCATTATCATTGTCCAGAGAAGGAAATTACAGCACTTAATGTCAAAACCCTACAATTATTAGGAGTGAACCAGAAAGCACGGTGCAGGGGTGAAGCCGTGGGGGATGCAAGTGTGGTAGAAAAGATGCATGCAGAGTTTGCAGCCAGTGATCATTTATGCATAGGAGTGTGGAAGTGTGTAAAATTCGTTCTCATGAACTTTAAATAGCACCATTTTAATAGTTTGGTCAAATTTGGTCAAATTCGTTCGTCTAAAGACAAAATATGCAATATTTGAGAGTAACACTGATGGAGAATGAAGTGAATGAGGAGCACATACAGTTTGTATGAAGCTGATGCAACAAAAGTCGAAACAGGTCAACAGCTGGTAGTATAGCCACAGAATTCTACCTCATTTGTGATTGGAGCTCTGTGGTAAGAAGCAGAAGACACTTTGGCAACCTAGAAGAATATCCTGAAGTGAGTAGACATGAATGAGTAGAGAAATAGCACTTGCTGAAATTTGCTCGAACCCCATATTGTGGTTTAAGGCAGATTTCAATCAACCCCCAGAAGAATAGAAAATTATTTAGGAGAGGAAAGAGTTGAGTGCTGACACCGAACCAGATGGACTGTAACTGAGGGGTATGGGAATATTTGGGGGGGGGACCATCATCACAGCAGCAGTAGGGAATGGGCACCAGGGAACAGCAAGAGCTATGAATGAAGATGCTCAGACCCAGTCCTAACTGAATCCATATGCTCCCACTGTCAGGGCAGAGTGAGCATCATTATGTCTTTACAGGAACAGCAAAAAAAAGGGAAAACGGTGAAACAAAACAATGAATATAGGCTAGGGCCATAGATGAGGTGGTTTGGATGCTCAACCAGAAACAGAGAAAGAAATGGGGTAATGAGAGAGCAGAGTGAGATTAGGAAAAGAGATATGGGGTAGGAAGGGTAACAAAGTGGCTTCAGGTCATTGGAATACCATTGAGGATTAATAACATGAACTGTAAGAAAAGAGCAGGCAGCAAGCACAGCAGGAACAGACCCTTATGTATTTGATGGAAAATTTGAAGTTTATGAGCTACTTGCTCAAGAAAAGGCAAGAAAGAGACTCTGGTCCTGTTTTTTTAGGACTTGAATTTGAGAAAGGTATCAATAATACATAGTGAGAGAGATGTGTGTTTCTGCTGAGGCTAAAACGCGGACTGCTATAGATGAGGTATACAAGGCACCCAATAAATATTTAGACATAAGAGAGTGGAAGTGCAAGATTAGGATTTGACCTCTTATCGAACTTCTGTTACATTACAGCATACTGTGTTTCACCAATGTTGTTGAATAGTTATGTACTCTATTGTACTTTCTGAGATGGATGGCATTTGCATATTTAACATTTCTTTAAAGTTTTAACATTAATTTAGTGTTTTGCAAATAATGGGAAATAATAAAGAGAAAACAGTGTACAAGTATCATTGTTTCAGCAAAATGGATCGGTGATACTGTATGAGCCTGTACTGTAGTGAGGCCTGAGGTACATTCAAATACAGAGGAGGTGTATTTATGTCACCTAAAGGCACATACTGTATCTTATTGTGCCTTATTGTAATGAGTTAAAGACTAATTGTAAAAAGAAGATGTTCATTTTATTAAAATACATAGGGTAATATTCCACTCCCAAAGTATTTCCGTTAAGATATACTTAACAAGTCTATAATATATACAATACCCAATCCGATATAATATCCAATAAATACTAAAATTTGTAAATGTACATTTTTTAACTTTTATTTTGTAATATTTACATTACATATTCAATTAAAAGCTACGCCTGGAATATGTGGGATCTGACCAAAATGCCAAAGAGTATATTTTATGCATTTGCACAAAAGCATTTAAAGATACCAGAACTATAGCCAACAGGCCAATATGCCTGATCTTTCTAACCAATAACTTGCTTTTTCCTGAAGGCTTGGATCATGAAGACCTTTGTGAATATAGTACTAGGACTTTTTGTTGTGAAAGCAGTTTTTGCTGTTCCATCAAGGCAAAGAAGACAGGCCTTCGACTTCAACACATATGATGCTGAGCACTATGATGTGGATTTGGAAAACCTCCACTTGGAAAATCAAGACACCTTCAACTATGACGATGAACTTACAATTGATGAACCCCAGGTAAGGAACTTTCACACTTCTCTCTGGTGGAAAAAAAAGCTTGAACAGAAAATAGATACAGAATGAGTAAGGAAATGTTCCAAAGGACAGAAGGCAAAGATTGTATAGGATACTGCAGAGAAATTACCTTTTTCTACTAATAATGTTTATGTTCTTTAATGGATTTTGCAACAATTTGAAAACTGAAGCTGTTAATGGATACCAGTACAGTATACCACTTCCTTCTTCAATAGGATGCACTAGGGTACTATATTCCAAATTTAGGGAACAGCATACTGTGCTTCACATACATGTATTTAGGACTCTAGTATTGTGTGTGAAGCATACTGTAACTATTATTTTCTTATCTCTGTCACGGACGTCCAAAGGGACTAACTGTGGGGAGCAGGAGAGCGGAAAAAGACCCATATGCGCAGCGGCAAGACGGGAAAAAGGCCCGGGCTCATTAGTGCAAAGAGTTCAGGAATGCCATATAGAAACCTATGCCCTCAGGGAGCGGACGTGGGGCACCCTGGTGCTAGGTGGGTCTCAGGACATCCGAACGTCAATGCTGAGCTAGGACAGAGTGCAAGACCCAGAAATATATAGCCCAAGGGAAAGAGAGGGACAGGAAGGACAGCAGACCTGAAACTAGGGACAGGACAGAGAAGGAGTGCCTTCTGGCTGCAGAGGGCGTGACAATCTCCCTACAATACTGACATCACCCTTATTAAACAGAAGGGTCTTAACATTCACAAGGGTTTGTTGCAAATAGCCAAATTTCCATATAAGCAAGTCAAACCCTGTACCATTGCATAATGAGCTACAGCTACATTATATACTGTAGTATGCATGATTAAATGACATAAGAAACCATCCCTTATGAGATAACTAAAATACAAACACATTTGGTAAGTCAACTACAACAACAGCAATCACATGAAAATGAAGAACATGAATCCCTCCCTCCTGGTTGGCATCATACCTGACCCCCATCCTTCAACTTGTGAGTTGTGAACCATTTAGAGTTTCATGGTTGGCCCGGCAACCAGGCACTCACTGGTGAACACCAACCCTAGGTCTGACTTGAAGGGATATATACCAGTGTCCCTAATCCAGGCACGGTTCTCTGAGTTTTTTAAAGGAACCATCATGGGAAATGACTATGGTTCTCTCCATGAGAAAGAAACAGCTAGCTCAAGTGGAGGAGTTAAAGAACCTTGGGGTTTTGTTCACAAGTGACAGCAGGGGGGATCTGCAGCTGTAGTAGTACAAACACGGTACCAAACTCTAATGGTGAAGCGGGAGTTTTTGGACAAAGCTCTTGGTTTTCCCGTCAATCTACAGCCCTATGCTTACCTTTGGTCACAAGTTTTAGGTAGTAAGATTGTGTCTACAAGTGGTGGAAATGAGGTTTCTCCATAGAATTGTTGGGCTTACTCTCTCTCAATGACAGAGTGAGGAGCTCTGCAATCTGGTAGGACTTTGGAGGGGAATCATTACCCCTCCAGATCAAGATAAGCCAGTTGATGTGGCTCAGGCATCTTCTAAAACCCAGAACACTGTGGACGGATTATATCATTCAGGTCACATGGAAAAGCCTAGTAGTCCATCAGGAGGAGTTGGAGCCTGTTGCTGGGGAAAGGGAAGTCTGGTCTGTTACCAATGTGAACCTCACCAGGAATAAGCAGTTAGAAAATGAGATTATAAGAGAGTAATCCCTCCTCTGCATACAGCAAATGCCTGCACTTTCTTCTCTTTCTCCGTGATTATCATGTTTCCCTGTAATGAAACGGGGAATAAAATAGTCAGTGAGCCCGTGAAGTTGTCTTAAGCCTGCCATTCCCTATGCCATTGACACATACAGTAACCGGGAATGTTTGTTACAATATGAAAACAAGACCACTGGGTAATAGTTTATAACATCACTTTTCTGCAAATTACATGTCTATACTGTTTCAAATTAATCAATATTCTGCATCTCAATTTCAACATATTATACGGTAGAATGAGCATAGTCAGTTCTCTATACAGATAAATCGTGGTAAATCGTTTGGAGTTTTTAGCAACTAAATCTTCCCATGGTACAGTGAATCTTCACAATCTCATTACTTTGCACAGCTTTATTATACCTTCTCTTACAAAATAGTATAAAACAAATACAACTATTCATGGAAGCAGGAAAGACATGAATGTTGTAGAGATCTTAGCTTGAGGTTTGCAGCCACGATAGATGAAGTTAGACAAGGACTTGACCTTGTGCCTGAACATGCTTATAGACTAAGAGTAACTAAATTGGATTGAACAAATCATTGGATTGAGTTCTGGATTTCCCATCCATGTAAATGTTACATGTGCGAACATTTATTACATGTTTGAATATACATGTTGTGTAGTAGTACCTTGTCTGCCTGGATGTTTCCTTGCCACTTGCATTTTACATATATGAAGAAACATTGGATTCATCCACCATATACAGTATTATGTACTAGTAGCACTATTAAAAGGCAAAATAAGTAGATTAGTGAAAAATCAATTCACAAGCTAAATTTAGGAGGAATTTCATGGTACATCAGCGCATTAATAATTTAATAATTCCTTGCACTTTTATAGCGCTTTTCTTGACACTCCACTCAAAGTGCTTTACAGGTAATGGGAACTCCCATCCACAACATCAATGTGCAGCACAACCTGTATGATGTAACCGCAGCCATAGTGCGTCAGAACGCTCACCACATATCAGCTACTAACGGGGAGAACAGAGTGATGAACCCAGTTCATAGATTGGGATTGTTAGTAGGCCATGATTGGTAAAGGCCAGGTGGAAATGTGCTCACGTTACACCCCTACTCTTTTCGAGAAGCACCCTGGGATTTTGACCACAGAGAGACAAGACCTCGGTTTTACGTCACCCGAAAACCTTTGCCATCTTACAGTATAATGTCCCCATCACTATAATGGGGCATTAGGACTCACATAGGCCACAGGATGAGCACCCCCTGTTGGCACCACTAACACCTCTTCCAGCAGCAACCTTAGTTTTTTCCCAGATCTCCCACCCAGCTACAGACCAGGCTCACACCTGCTTAGATTCAGTGGGTTACCAATTGTGAGATGCAGCTCTTCCACAGACTGGCATGGAACCTTTAATGACTAAGCAGTCACAACCTTGATAGACATTTTATTAAAAAGATGTCATTGCAGACAAAACTATGTCCCTGGTATATTCCAACCTATTGCACAAGGGGATGGTGTATTTATTTTTCCATTCTTCCTGGAACAATTACTGCAATTCATCAGAGTGTAGTCCACTGGACACAGCTGATGGACTACCATTGTCAAGTCTCACCACAAATTTTCTATTTGATTCAAGTCAGTACTTTGACTTGGCAGCTCAAAGACATTTACTCTTGCTAAACCACTTTTCTGTAGCTGTGGCCTTGTGGATCAGGTCATTGTTCTGCTGAACTATGAATTTTTAAACTAGTTTTTGATTCTTGACTCAAACCCTCAAACAAATGTTAAGCTTTGACCATAGATAGTCATAATTATTAATTAAAACAATTAACAAATATAATACAATAACAAACAAGCATTTAGAGAATTAAAAATAACATTCAGGTCAAGACGTAATAGACATTTACTGTATGGACAGAATCAGATGTCTGTGTAGAAAATGGCAGCATCAGATGCTTCAAAGAGTAGTCTTGTTTTAATATTTTTATTCATTATTTTTGGCTAATATTTTGGCAGCTGCTCAGATTGTGTGGCAATGTAGCTGGTGGGGAATAAACATGCATAGTTGGCTTATTCTCATGCAACAAAATTTTCAGCAAATGCTTTCTTAAAGCAATGTGAGCAAAGCTAAGCATGAATTCTTCTGAGATATTTCGTTTTGTCAGCATTTCTTTAAATTTAGATTTAAATTTAGATACAACTAATAACATGGCCAACTCTTATCTCTGCAATGCCTTTGGATAAACCATGCATAAAATACTTTTCAGCATTAACAGACATGAAAAAACATTAAATCAGACATGACCAGTATGTCAACAAAATTAATTTGTCATGTAACTCCTTACCCTGAGGATCATGTCTTACAAAACAATGTAAACAGAATAAAAAGTAAAAGAAAACATATTTTTTTCTTGCAGACAACATTGTGGGTTCCATATTTTATTCTGTTACTGTATCTAGCACTGCATACAATCAAACAAAAAGACAGTGTTTTACACTGGGACAGCAGATAATAGGCATAATCATTGCTTATTTTCTTTCCCAAACTTTAAGTACTTGAGCAGACTGACTCCACAGATAGTTTAATAGTTCCTCCTGGCTCTAATTTTCCAATTTGCAAGAAATTACATCACAAAAATGCAGGTTATGTGAATTTGTATCCAAATAATTATTAAAATTAATAGATAAATTACATGGGCAAAGAAATAAGAGGACCCTGAGGCTCTCAAGGAATAAAGTCACCCACCCCTGAAATGCTCAAATAGAAACACAGGTGATTGTTCCATATTTTTTTTCACATTCTAACTTAATTCTAAAATCAGTCTATGAATTGGCTTCATTACTCTGCTCTCCTCCCCACTGATAGCAGATGTGTGGTGAGCACACTATGGCTGCCGTCGCATCATCCAGGTGGATGCTCCACATTGGTGGTGGTGGAGGGGAGTCCCAATTACTTGTAAAGCGCTTTGAGTGGAGTGTCCAGAAAAGTGCTATATAAGTGTAAGCAATTATTATTAATTATTATTATTATTATTTGATCAGTGAAAAAATATGTAGGTATTGTTCCCGGGTTCTAGCTATATACAATACCTTAGAATCAATGGTCAGTATTGTTGTGCTCTCAGAAGATTTACATTTACACAGTGACGAAGCAGATTTGGTTTGCTACTTGCCATTAGTCAACTGTAATGCTCCAAGGGGGCAGACAGTTGGCTGAATAGTAAATCCAGGACATGGTTGTTTACAGGGACACTCATGATTTCCTCAGTGAAAATCTCAAACAG